TATATATATATATATATATATATATATATATATAAATATACAGTTTGATTTGATATAAATTATGGTGTTGATGACAGCATAAATCCCTGAAGCTTCAAGGTTTAAAGTTCAGAGGCTCATAGTGCCAAAGGCCTGTCACCTTTGGTTTCCATTCCAGTCTTTGGAATGATCATAACAGCCCAGCCTGAGGAAAAGGGGTTAAAAGGTTCAATACGTTTATTTTATTTTTTTATACCGAGCAACGATGAGTTAAAAGCTTAAAAATGGTCAGTCATGTTGTAGTTTAGTTGAAAAACAGCGTCTGACCAGTTCTCCCACTTTGATTATACAATTAGTAGTTCATGAAAAATACAGAATTGTCGCACAAATATGAAACAAAGATTTAATGCATTAGGACACTTTTTTCTAAAATGCATGCAGTTTAGAGAGAAATCATAAAGCTCAAGTTTTTATTTACCATTTTTATTTTCTATTTCATAATTGAAATACAAATATATTTGACACAAGTAGATGAGTAGCACACAGAATATTTTTCAGAACATAAATCGTTGGAACCTGCAGGCGGCACATTACCCACATCACATCATCATTTTTCACGTGGTGCAAAACGACCCTTGGACTGTCCACCAGCCGAGCTGACCTCTTGACCTCTTGGCGATCTTCACCTGGTGTGGTTTATAGATGGGCTTGGTCCTGTGCCGACTGGCAGAGAATTCATGGAGCATTCTGCCTCCTGTCCTCAAAAGATGAAGAGACTTTGTGCTGCAGAGCTCCAGGCGAGAAGCAATTAGAGGAGACTTTCTGACACAAAGGAATGCTGCACCCTATCATCATAGCGCTAACGACAACAATTCACAATTTATAGAGTTCAAGTCGAGAATGCAGTTGTAAAGTTTAATCTTTTATGTGTAGGCGGCAAACCCTGGATACTGTTTTCCTTTATAACTGTGTCTGCTGCAAAATGCAAATTTTAATACCACACCACAATGACACACATGTTAGAAAAATATCTCTATAAAACCAAATGACTAAACAGTTAACTGTGGAAAGTAACTATTAATTAACTAATAATCTTCATAAAAATGCCACAAAGAGCACTTGAGTCAATCTGCTATGATTCAAATTAAAATTCATTTTCCAAACATATGACATTTTATTCCAACATTTCATAGAAACACTGCTCAGAATGTAGATATTCAAGTCTCTACATAATACTCATCTCTTGCTTTATTTTATACTGTCTTTTAAATATTATCCAACATTTGATTTGTATATCATATTTCACTCTGATTTAACTCAACCTCAACTGTTTATATGAAAAAAACATTTATGTTTGTCTTCAATCAATCTGCTTTGCAGAATATCTTTGCATTGCATTTTATTTTTCATATTGTGTCGTAATCACCATAAATGACAACAACACAAGTTCCCTGGACTAAAAGTAAAGGTTATTGTAATTCTTGAAATTGTGATAAAAGTAAACTTTTCTAACTTTCTGCTGTTTTGTTTAATTTTGTTGACAAAATTAGAATCAGTTAGTTTTAACATCATAATTGCCCATTTAAAATTTGTATTGTTTGTTGTATTTGTGAGGCATCGAGAGTGTTATAAATCTAATAACTTAAGCAGTTTTATTTTAGCACATTGCAAATTATTTTTTTCTAGTAACACTTAATGCTTCTTCAGTATTGTGCATGTAAAAAAAAAAAAGTCCTGATTAATTTTTGCTGTCCTCTTGTGCTGCATGAGATTATTACAGTAGGACTCATGCTTGCCTGGCCTTCAAGCATGTTGACTGCTGTGGGACTGAGCCGTACTTGAGCTCTGCAGGCATTAAATCCTGGCTTTTAATTCTCTTATAGGACAATAAAAAGAAGACATGCAACTCCTTATTCAAATTATTTGAGATTTGCTTAATCTGCGACTGTCTTCACACAGAGCAAATTATTTTTTATTCAAATTGGTGCATGATGCTCAATGAGTCTATCAGCCTGGCCAGAGACGCTTCTCTCAAAAGTTTAACTCATTTAAGGTTAATGTGGGCTCTTTAGTAAAATAATGCAACTAAAAGCCAAAATAAGTAAAGTATTTGTCATGTTTTGCTTTAATTTTATATTGTAGCCCCAGATGTTCCTCAAGTTGTTAAATCATGCACAGACAGAACATGTTACAACGTGTTAGCAATTAATGTTAGTAATAACCATTAAAACAAGAAAATATTTTTTTGTCTGTGTTGTCTGCAAGTGTTCTCAATGATGCTGATATTTATGTTACAGAATGTAAATCAGCTGTTTTGTCATTTTTCTTGTCCTTAGAGTTTCTGCACAGTCATAAGTAAATTTTTATCTGTCAGGTGTTTGTTTTTATCAGAAACTAAAACAAAACAATATGTGCCACATTAATAAACTAAAGTTTAGCCTGTCATATGGCGAAGTATTTTATTTAAATCTCTTTCCCGCGTAAGGAGGTCGGCACTGTGGTCCTTGAAAGCATCAAAATCCTGTGAATTATGTAACATAAACATGTTTTTAGCATTGAATGGCTGAGCTTTTATTACGTTTATTAATATTTTTAATATTGTCAGGTTAAACTTACCCGATTTAGTTTCTGAAACTTCGTATTGGATTCATGCAGAGCAGCCTGGAGAGACTTCACTCTTACTTCTGCATTTACTGCTTCGGCCTCCAGGGCAAACCTGAGGAAAGTTTGAGTTTTATTGCTCTCAGCAGAGCAATAGCCCACAGCCTCCTGACTGGCAGAGGAAATAATTTACTATGTCCACTACTGGAAATATTTAACAATTAATGAGATGAATCAATACAAATAAACTGTCATTACTGTGATTGAAGCATGCACTATCTGAGAGCTGGATGTTCAATCTGCTATTAAACACCAATAACTATATTTCTGGGAAGGCTGGAGTGTGAATAACGTGCTAGCAACAGGAGTGAGGAGGACTACATGGCATGTGGTGGATGTTTAATAAAAACTTAATAAACATTTATATCTCAACATTTATTAGTGTGAATGTTTATAAAGCATTCACACTATTGGGATCCATTTTTCTTTCATACATTTTTTGGCACCAGTCTTGTTCCATAATTTTTGTGCTATTTCAACAAATCATATATCAAAACGTTCAGCTCTTTCAGGACAATCCTGCTATGACTTTTGGTATCGATGCAACTTTAGTTTTTTAAAATATTTAGCCTTTTCTGACTTTTTTTTTTTTTAGCTCAAGTTACATCCATCACTGCTCCTTTCACATTTTGTTCTGCTTCAGCTTCTTTCAGCTTCCTTGTGCTAATGTAAACATTTTCAGCTACTTTCAGCTGTTTTGTGCTCTTTTAAGAATATTTCTTCTAAATACAATTTTTTTATTCTTCTAACTTCATTCAGCTTATGCTCTTTTCAGCTTGTTTCTGCAAGTTTCAGCTTTTTCTGCTATATCAGCTACTACTTAGCTATTTTATGGTAATTTTAGCTTTTTCAGATAATTTCCACTTTTTTTGTGCTTATTTCTGCTTCTTTTAGACTAATTGAACAAACATGTTCTTTCTGCTTTCTTCTTCTAATTTAAGCTGGTTCTACTTTTTCAGCTACCTTTTTAGCATTCTTTAAGCTATTTTCGTCCGTTTTCAGATAAATTCACGTTTTCCATGGTAAATTCTGCTACTTTCAGACTAAATAACTTATTTCTGCTATTTTTAGCTTGCCATGCTCCTTTCAATTTAATTATGCTAGTTTAAGCTAGTTCTGCCTTTTCAGCTACTATTTAGCTGTTTTTATGCTAATTGTAGCTTTTCAACATTCTTTGAGTTCATTTCAGCTCTTTCCACTTCCTTCTGGTAGTTTAAGCTTCTTTCTGCCTTTCAGCTAATTTTCAGCTATATATTTTTCCTATCCATCCATCCATCCATTTTCTTTACCCGTTTATTCCATTTTGGGTCACGGGGGTCGCTGGTGCCCAGGTCCAGCAATCACTGTGCGAGGGGCGGGGTACACCCTGGACGGGTCGCAAGTCCATCACAGGGCCACATAGAGACAAACGAGACAAACAACCATTCACTCTCTCACTCACACCTAGGGACAATTTAGAGTTACCAATCAGCCTAACATGCATGTTTTTGGTCTGTGGGAGGAAACCGGAGCACCCGGAGAAAACCCACGCATGCACGGAGAGAACATGCAAACTCCACCCAGAAGGCCCCTGGACCGGGGTTTGAACCAGGGACCTGCTTGCTGAGAGGCAGCAGCTCTACCAGTTGTGCCACCGTGCTGCCTATATTTTTCCTAATTACAGCTTTTTTTAATATACTTCCCTAACTTTTCTGCTGACTTCTGAATATTTTAACCAATTTCAGCAAATATGTTTTCGTTCTGCTTTCTTCTGCTAATTTAGTCTTGTTTTTCCATTTCGGCTACAGTTCAGCATGTTTTCTTTAGCTAATTTCAGCAAGTTCTTCTGCAATAAGCATTCAGCCTGCATTTTTGCAGGAAATGCCATCTCTCTAGTTTACATTAATTAACCTGTTGCCATGGAGTCTCCCATGTCCTTCAAGTTGCTCCTTCAAAGTGATGACTTGCCAAAGCATACAGTTTTCATTCCAACCCATACTTTTTACATGCTTTTTTAAAATCTACTGTAAATATGATCCTACTTCATCACAAAAATATGAATATTATATTATATATACTATAGAATATATATATATATATATATATATATATATATAGAATATTATAAACACTGATATAACCCCCCCCCCCCCCCCCCCTCTAATTAGTAACTTATGAAGTATTTAAAGTAAATAGCTGAATCCTTTTTGGTGCAAAAATGTCATCACTGGCCATGCATACAGTAGTTTTGAAAGTATTCACATAAAGTAGGAGAAAGCACTCAGGGATGATTCAGTTAAATTCAATTTTGGCATCAGTACTTTCAAGACAAGGCTAAGAGTCTGCACTTTAAGCTCGTAGAAACTTTTTCTTTTTTCAGATGAGTGCCTCATTCTCTCAACCAATTCTACAAAGAATTAATGTTGCGGTCGTGGATTTCAAACTCAGGCCTAAATAGTATTATTTTTTCTCTCATAGTTTCCATGCAGCAGAAGTAAAACTTACCGGTTTTGTGCCTTAATTCGAGCATTTTTCTCCTTTCTCCATTTTGTTTCCAGCTCCTGGATTTCTTCCTGTTGATCCTGTAGTGCAGACCATTTTGTATGTATAAGTGACTGAGTTTTTTTCCCAAATATAAGTTTTTCCTCATTTACCTGATTTACTTTGTCTCTTTCCTTTAAAATAATCAGCAATTTGTCCTTTTCTTTGGTGAGATTTCCTATACTTTCTTTCATGCTGAGTTCCTTCAGTGCTTGTTGTTCTTTAGTCTCTTTAAGTTTCAGCTTTAAATCTGAACATTGGAAAAATGCATTTTTTTTTTTTTACAGATGTATGTTTGCAGTAATTGGTGGGATGAACACCATTCTAATCCACATACCTTTACATATTTCCATGGCTTCATTGTATTTTTGTTGAAATTCAAGCAACTGCTGGAGTAGAGCGTCCTCTTTGGCTTGATGCTGAACTGTTTGTTCTCTGAGTTCTGCTTCACATTCAGCTAATTTCTCCCTTTAATGTAACAAGAAGCACCCATTAGACTAAATATGTTCAAATTACATTTGCAACAGTGTAAAGGGGTTACTGCAGGGGACACTTTCAAAGTTGCTTGATTTGATCCAACAACATATTTTGTTTAAAATAGTTTTAAAATGTAGCTTTAACTTATACAGCTGATGAGCAGCTTTATAATGAGTTTAAGAAACTTACCTAGATTCAATGCCATCGTGTTTAAGTTTTTTTTTCAGCAGGTTGATTTCTTGTAGGAGCTTTTGACCTAATTCTTCTTTATTGTGTAACTTTTGATTAAAATGGGAATCCTTTTCCAGCTGAAGCTGCTTGTTTTCCAGCTTTAATTGGGCATTTTGTTTCTTGAGCTCCTCCGTGAAAGAAATGATTGCTTGATTGTTGGCAGCCAGATCTGTGAGCCTTTCTTCTAATGTCTCTGCTTTCTTTTTTTCACTGTCCAATTCCTCCTGGCGCTGGGCTGCTTGATCTTCAAGGTCGGAGATAATTTTCTGCAGAGCTTGATATCGTAGAAGCGTTTCATCTGCTCTGTCCTTCAGTATGCAGATCAAACTTGACTGCTCATCTATTCTCGACCACAGCATCTGTTTGTCTGCTACGTCCTCTGCAGGGAGGTTTTTAGGGTTCTCATGTGACTTCTGAATACCTTCTTCATGCTGGGAACAAAAGTAAGACAGCGTGTTAATGTCTCAAACACAGCCACACACCCCGAGTCTGATTTTGTAACTGATTTCTTCATGTGAGGGGAAATTTTATTCCTCTGTGTGGCAAAGTGTTTCTATTGAACCAGTTTTTTAATGTTTCTTTTTTTAAGTACTTTGTCTCCTGCAAGATTCAGTAGTGAGGTTTAGCAAATTAGTCTGGCACATATGCATTTTTGTGTATATTATAGTGTGACAATACAGTTTTTATGATAATGCACTTTTTTCAACACACAGAAGAAGAATAAACATTTAAATAATAGTAACAGGGGTTGCAGCGGTGCATTGATAAGTGTTGCAGCCTAATAGCAAGAAAGATGTAGGTTCAAGTTGTGGTGCAGGGCCTTTTTGTGATGAATTTGCATGTTCTCCCCTTGCATATGGGCTATCTCTGGGTATCTTCATCTTCCTCCCACAGCTCCAAAACATGTGTGTCAGGTTAACTAGAGATTGTAAATCGGCTTTAGGTGTGTGTGTGCATACATGGTTGTTCTTTCTCTGTGCTTGCTGTGTCACAGACTGACCTGTCCAGAGCGTAGCATGATGCTTCTCTCCCGCTGATTGCTGAGATAGGCATCAGCCCTCCCATGACCCTGAACAAGATCAAGAGAGTAAAGAAAACGGACAAGAAATGAGTGAGAACTGTGGACAGGAAACTGCTCCAAACAGAACAACGTTACTCAGAACTACATAAAGGGTTAAATGTTGTAAGTTGTGCAAAAAAAGCTCTCCAAAGAGATTCAGATTTATCTGTATACTGCAAAAGTAAGAGAGATGTACAGGTATGATGCTACAATACAACCTCTAAATGATGTCAGGTGCATTTTTTTGTGTGTCACATGATGTGTATTTTGTCTCATTTTAAATACATTTTGTAGGTAAGTATCTTAATTAGACTATGGCTGGTCTGAGCAACATGACTGTAACTCTGTGCCATTTTTTATTCCAGGTTACATTCATTTAGTCATTTAGGTTTTTTGTTTCATGCAATCTATTAAAAAGTAGTGTGAACACTTTAGCCTAATGTTTTGAGATGATGCAGAAAAAAGAAAGTCACAATAATAGAAATGTTGGTTTAAAATAACTTTAATAAATATATATATATATTATATATAAAAAGCGGCTGTACCGTTTGACTTTGGGAAAACTACTGGTTAAATGTACATCCATAAATAGGTTTTACTGTGTGGACCTTAAGATTAAGACACACAGATGTGCATAAAACATCAGTCAAAGCAAAACGACTTTTAAAAACGAATTATGGCTCAAAATACACATGAGTCATTTAATAAAAGTTGTAGTACTGACTTTAAAACTATATATATATATATATATATATATGTATATATATATAAACTAAATTAATTGAAATTGAAACTATTAAAGAGTTGCCAGTAAACAAAGTTAAACTCTTTCCAGTGATGTGGGCTGGGTGTTTGGAGAACATTAATTATTTTAATACTATTTTGGAGCTCTTTAAATCTCAGGAGAACTAATTTTTGAATAAAATAAATAATTTTTAAATTATCCGACGCACCACTAAACTCGTTTAAATGTTTTTTTATGTGTTAATTGAATAGTTACACCTCATAGTAGCTTCTTTTCCTCTTCTTTTTTTTTTCTTCTGAAAAACAGGATCCGACTGCGTCAAACCGACAGATTTTCAGTTTTCACAAGTCCTCTTTACATACCTCCACCTTTATAAAAGCTTCCGTATTTCTTGGAGGACTCGTCATGATGTACCACACAAAAACACGTCGATAGTTTCTCCTCAAAACTGAGCTATGCGGATGAAACTTTTGCCAAGTTTTCAGTTGCTAATGGCAACCGCAGTGGAGGCGCCGCGCGCTCGGGTTTGTTTGTTCCGCCGCTCTAACGCAAGGGGGCGCTGATGAGCTTCATACACCGGTCCAAAAATAGTTTAATAAATAAAGTTTATTTCGGAGTGGTTTGGCACTCTTATTTACTTTTCAAAATTAAGCATACTGTCAATCCAAATGTAGAATACTCATTTGATGACATCTAAATACAAAACTAGTATTTTGTTTAATTTATATAGTTTTTATTGTTCGTTACACACGGATACACAGACCCTCTGTTAGTCCCCGAGTTTGGGACAAACTAAAGCACAGTCGCCTGCTGCGAGGGCAAAATCACCGCCTCGAACCTGCATGGCATTATGCAGCTTCCAGGGCCAGGGCGAGGGGATTTATCCAGTGGGTCGAGGAGGGGGAGGGAGGTCTTTGCGCACGCCCCTTTTCATCAACCAGCGGGCCAAAAGAAAGAGAGGAAAGCAACAGCATCCCAGGACCCAGCTCCTTTCAGCTCCTCCATCTGCACCGCGGAGCTGGACGGACCAGCCACAATGTGGAGAGCACTACTTAAACTCCTTCTCCTCTTCCTATGTTGGGGTGGATGGTGCCATGCTGAGGGTAAGTGGTGCTCTTTATTCCTCCTACTTTTTTTGTCTACAGCTGAATAATTACCCGAGGAGGCAACATGTGACTGTGCACTTGTTGCTCATCAATTAGAACTGAAGCTAAACTGCTCCAGAATAAAGTATTTCTTTGCAAACTAATAAAACAAAGCATGCTTAATAATATTAAAGTGGGGGGTGTTTTTGGTGCATGTTGCTTGTAGAGCTTAAAGTTTTACCTCTTACTCTAAAGGTTGAGCACAAAGCCTCCCTCAGACAGATTGCAAGTTCTCCTGAGGAACTTTTGCCTGTGCTTTAGTGTTGCTAGGTAACAGAAAAGAGCATGTGACTTATACACAATCTGTGAGGACTGAGAGAATATGGTACAAATCTCATCCAGTGGGACAGATTTGACCCTGCACGCTCAGATTTTGAATCCAGATCAAATAAGTTAATTTTCTAATAATAATAAAAAAAAAAGGTACAAAAACTGGTTTTTATATGTGGCAATCTTATCTGTAGTGTTCGTAGCCCGGCTCAGTCCTGCTTCTCGAACTGTAATCTGCTTTCTTTTTGCTCAACCCCTTAGCATGTAAGCTCCTTAGTGTGAATCAAGCAACTAATTGCAGCTGCTGCAAAATGGAATCATTTCCACTGAAGGAACAGTTCAAAGTTGAGGGGGAAATGGGCCCGGAGCAGGGTCACTGCTACATGTTTTGTATTTACTAACTGTCATAGAGAAAAATTAAAACTGGGAATGGCACACAAGAAAAATCAGCCAGCGTTGGTACTAAAATACTAAAATAATGCCTTTGAATGTGCGCAGCTGAACTTCTAGATGAAATTTTGCTGATGGCAGCTGAAGTGTGATGACCCAGAAACTCATCCGATTTTCTCTGTCAGCATGTTCACATTGATCATTAACTTCTTTGTAATTTAAAAAAAATATATATAGAAACCTGGATTATGTTATTTTAAACCAACTACCAGTACATGAAAGTCAGAAATTTAGACATGCCAACTAAATGTAGAAAAAAATTATAGTTCTTCATGCTGAGTATGGTATTTTCTCTTAATCTCTGTTCAGTCCCCCACAAAAATACTTTAGTTTGATAATGGTTTCGTTTGTGACCTTTCTGGAACTCATTATCCGAGCCTTGAGGTTGATACTGGTATGAAATGCTTACACTGGCCCTAATAGCTAATTTGACAGCATGAGGAGGTTTTATGGTGTCGATTTATTAATCATACTCTAATAGTTGTGCTGTTCTAGGCACGTTTAGTCAGTAAAATGTTGTTTTTTTGTTAACCATTTGCCAGTAAATTGTTAATAATTCCTTATGTGCGCATTAAGACCTTCACTGGTGTGTTCATGTGGAACAACACTGGTGCAGCATGTTAGTTTGTCCGCATTTATTGACTGCCAATACATGGCGAAGGTGAGCGATTATGTTTTGGCCCATGTTTGCATATTAACTGTTAACTATTGATAACACTTTCAGAAAGTAATCACTGGACGTTCATCTAAAACAAATTGATTTCTGGAGTCAGTTCAATTCAAGATGGCTCACCAATTATTGAACTTTGGCTAAAACAAAAAAGGGCCGTGACTCAGTCAATTCTACAGACATGGATCTAATATTTGACATGGTAGTAGCCGAGAGTAGCCTACTCTGAGCAAATGTTGTGATTTCACATAACATTACTTTTATATTATTTGACAAAAGAAAGATAAGATCAGATAGAACTTTAAATGTCTGCAACACGGCTAAAACTGTCATTTCTCAACATAAGTTCAATTTAAATTTGGCATAAATGGCGGAGGGCGATATGCATTTCTTCAAAAAACTGTAGGCTTTGAATTTATTACGTTTCTTTTTTTAGATGACTGTAACAGAAATGCGATTGCTTATTATGTGTATTTAAAGTTTTCAAGGACAGTGCATGCATTAAAAAGGTGCATGTCAGCTTCTTTCTGGTGTAGGAGCCTGTAAATCCTTGTGCAATAAAACATTAGAAACTGGAACGCGGTTCTCTCAAACTGAGAACAAATCCTTTTGTAACCCCCCTGTGCACGCTGACACCTGTTGAGCTTCTAACAATCTGGCAAACTGTAGTTCATTGTACAGGGCAAAATGAAGATGTCCAGTAGTTGTGGTTTTGCATAGGGACAACTTAATTTTAGATTTGTTTATGTTAAATGTATTAGTTTTTGTAAGGCATGCACCAAATTGTTGTGTATTCACAATCAGGTCTGGGTTTTATTCATCTCCCTCCTTATGCCTCTCCTTTGCTTCCATGCCACTGCCAAAGTCCTGTGGTTTTTAGCAGCCTTTGAGAGTAGTAGTGGGAGCCAAAGTCACTTGTATGGCATTTGATGGCATTCTGCTGCATTGATTACCATATGAAATAGGCAGCAGCACTTCGCTCTGACAGCATGGATGGGTCCTGCATCTCATGCTGCCAGCAGCCGTTTTCTTAACTTTTCTTCACTGACATTCAGTGAGTGCAGAAGACTGTGCCAAAACAAAATGGCATTGATGAAAGCTTAAAGACATCTTTGAGCCACTCCATACATGTCAAATTTCAATAGCAGTGGACTGGTGTTGTTTATTACTTTACTTGTACCCCAAGTAAGGAGAAAAATGTGATTTTTGCTCTAAATTATTTATTTTTAAAGTGACACTTCCAGTTATGAGTATTTTTTTTACACCATTGTAAATTTCCAGTGGAGTTTGAGTTGTTTGGGGTGCTTCATTATAAAGATAATTCCTCTACCGCTTTTCTTTGTTGGCCAGTTGCAGTACGACGTCCTTCTCTTCATCTACAGATAGAGCAGTGCTCTCTCCCGCTGTGGGTTCAAGTTGCTAATTGAGGGCAGAGAAAAAACATTAGAGCACACAAAAGACAGTTTAAACAGTAACAGAAACAAGACTTTTCTGAAGAGTTTTTTAAAGGTGCCAAAACTGCTAACGTCCAAAATTCCAACATACATTAACTTTCTTCTAGAAAATCCAATGGTTTAAAACTTTAAAACTGGCAACATGCTAGCTAAAATTAAACACTTGTTGAAAGCTGCAAAGAGCAAGACACTATAAGTAAAAAATGACCATAAAGCTACTTGTATTTACTGCCTAAAGCCAGAAAAGACAGGCTAAAAGCTAAACATAGCAATAGGCTGGGGGAACTTGCTGGCAAGTGTCTGGTGATCGAGCCTGGGCTCCTGGGGTTTGGCTGGGCCAAGCCTGAAGAAGGCACAGGAAGCCACCAACACATGGGCCCAACACCTGTCGAGGTCAAGTGCTATGGATGCAAGGCGGCAGGCGAGGGAGGATCCCTGGCCATGCCATCTCTTGGCGGCACAGACTAGCTCTAGGGACGTGGAACGTTACCTTACTGGCAAGTAAGGAGCCAGAGCTTGAGTGTGAGGTTGAGTGGTATCAACTAGATATAGTTGGGCTCACCTCTATGCACAGCTTGGGGTCTGGAACCCAACTCCCGGAGAGAGGCGCTGGACTTTCTCCTACTTTGAAGTTACACAGAGAGAGAGAGAGAGGCATTGGTGGGGTGGGGGGATACTCACAAGCCCCTGACTGAATGCTTCGATGTTGGAGTTTTCTTTAGTAAATTAGAGGGTTGCCTCTCTGTGGCTTCAAGCAGTAGGAGAGAAGGTTCTGACTGTTGTTTGTGCCTATGCACCAAACATCAGTTCAGATTACCCAGCCTTTCTGCAGTCTCTTGACAGTGTCTTGGAAGGGGTACCATCTGAGAATTCCCATGCTCTACTGGGTGACTTCATGGGCAATGACAATGTCATCTGGAAGGGGGTGACTGGGTGGAATGGCCTCCTTGTTCTAAACCCGAATGGTGTTCATTTATTGGACTTCTGCACTATGCATGCGCTCTCCATAATGAACACCATGCTTTAGCATATGGGTGGTTCATAAGTGTACTTGGTACCAGGCCACCTTAGACCAAAGGTCAATGATTGATTTTGTAATCATGTCGTCAGACTTGTGGCCCTATATCTTAAACACTCGGGTGAAGACAGGAGCAGAGCTGTCAACTGATCACCATCTGGTGGTGAGTTGGATCCAGTGGCAAGGGAGGCTGCCGGACAGACCTGGTAAACCCAAACACATAGTGATGGTGAACTGGGAATGTCTGGTGGAGCCCCCTGTCTGTGCAACTTTCAACTCACATCTTTGTGAGAGTTTTTCACATGTCCTGGGGGAGATCAGGTACATGGAATCCGAATGGGCCATGGTCAGGGCCTTGAAGATGTGGCTTCCAGGAGCGGTAGCCTAAAGGTGATTTATGCCCGTCACAAAGGCAACCAAAGGACCTGCTGGTGGACAATAGCGGTGATGGAGGCCATTGAGTTGAAGGAGGCATTGAGGACTTGGCTGTCCCAGAGGAATCCCAATGCAGCTGACAGGTACAGGGCGGACAGAAGGTCTGTGGCTTCAGTGGTTGTGGATGTAAAAATTTGGGCATGGGAGGAATTTGGGGAAGCCATGGAGAAGGACTTTTGGTTGGCTTAGAGGAGGTACTGGCAAATCGTTGGGCGACTCAGAAAAGGAAAGTGGGCCCCTTCCCAGGCTGCGGTTGGTTTGGGTGGAGAACTGTTGACCGTAACTGAGGATATTCTTGAGCTATGGAAGGAGTACTCTGAGGATCTCCTTAATCCACTCACCAAGTCTTTCTTTGAGGAGGCAGAGTCTGAACACGAGTCCATTACCATGGCATAGGTCACTGAGGTAATCTAAAATGTTCTTGGTGGCAGGGCACCAGGGATGAATGAGATATGCCCCAAGATGCTAAAGGCTCTGGATGTTGTGGGGCTGTCATGGTTGACATGCCTCTTCAATGTTGCATGGAGGACTAGGACAGCACCTGTGGAGTGACAGAACATGATAGTGGTTTCCATTTTTAAAAAGGAGGAGAGTGTGTTATAACTACTGTGGGATCACAGGGTATTGCTTCAGTCTGTTATGGTGAAGAAAGAGCCGAGTCAAAGGCAAAGCTGTCGATTTGCTGGTCTGCTCACGTTCCAACCCTCACCTATGGTCACGAGGTTTGGATAATGACCAAAAGAACGAGATCCCGCATACAAGCGTACAAAATGGACTTCTTTTTCAGGGTGACTGGGCTCACCCTTAGAGAGAGGGTGAGAAGCTCCATCATCTGGAAGGAGCTCAGAGTAGAGCTGCTGCTTCTCTGCATCAAAAGGAGTCAGCTGATGGGGTTCGGGCATCTGATTAGGAAGCCTCCTGTTTGCCTCCCTTTAGAGGTTTTCCAGACATTTTCCACTAGTAGGAGGCCCTGGGGAAGACCCAAATGTCGCTGGAGGGATTGTGTATCTTTGCCGGCCTGGGAACGCCTCGGGGTCCCCCAGAACAAGATGGGGAGAGGGATATCTGGGGTTTCTCTCCTAGACCTGCTTCTGATTATGGAGAAGCAACAGATGATGGAGATGGAAAAATAAAAAGCTGTAAAACAATAGTTTAAGTGCTGAATCAACACTGACACAACAAAAATCAAAATAAATCTTAACAATGCTAACAGGCAGACTTGAAAGCAGAGTAAAAAGTAAATCTCAGATAAACAGTTTTTCTTCAGTTTTACTGAAGAAAACTTCTAAACTGTATATGACAGATGTGGCTGCTTGTCACACATGCCATTTTTACGTTTTTATGTAGGAGACATGACGTTCAAAACTTCTTTAGTTTAGAATATAAACTTTCAAGCTGATATATGGGAGTTAATGAGAGTGTGAATGTGCACACACCGCAAGGATTTGATAGAACTATAAAAATAAACAACAATAGCAAATAAATAAAAAGACCAAATGTTTATAATTTGATGTAAAAGGTTAAATTAAAAAGTGTGAATAAAAAGAGTTAGCAAAAATTGCTGACAGCTCAAAGATTAACGTCATGTTGTAAGCTGAAATTTTAGTGGTAAAGTTTTCATAAATTATAAATTCTAAGTCACAACTGATTAAAATATTTAAATTATATTAAAGTGCCATTTGAATCCTGTAAAGTCCCAATTTTCTGTGATGCTTTTAAACTTTGAATGTCTTTACCATGACCTAAGCCAGAACTATAGAATCCCAAAGAGTAAAAATCTCATTTCTATGTACATATGTGAATTTCTTTTTAATTATTTTGTCTCCTCCATATGAGTGTGCCACCAAAAGCCATGGTGCACTTTCCCTGATTTAATGTAATTTTTGCATGGACAATTAAAATAAAAAAAATCAAAATCAAAAATAATGACAGAAACATGATGCAGCCTAATAGTACAAAGGGGCTTCAGTGCTAAAAATAAAAGCTACAAGTTCCAACTGAACTTTTCTAAATTATAGATTTGCACCAGTCAGCTTTGCTTTTACCTTCACTGTTACTGGTTGACACAAACTGAGACTCTGTCAAGTTGATGACAGAATTTTGATGAGTAAAAAAGTTGCAAAGTTTTTTTCCTCCAGAAAGTTAAAAGAACCGTAAAACAAGATACAGTAGTGCTGTTAAGTGGATCAGCTGCAGTGTACAGTCTCTGTCACCTTTCCCAGCGTTAATACTGTCAGAAAACACTGGTTGCATTTATAATAGCCTCTAGCAGGTTGGTTACTTCTTGGAAATACATGGTTTTAAATTCTCAGCACAAGGCTTCATGTATAGCACCATATTCTTGGGGTTCTCTGTTATAGCAGATTTTTATCACTTGCTTATTGAGCCTGTTTTAGTATATATTTTTAAACCTTTTTCTATATTAATTGCCCTGAACAAAGGTTTTCCTGTAGTATGATGACTGAACCTATTGTTCCTTAAATGAATACTGTAGTTTTTATTAAAATAGAGAGCATCTATTTGACATTTTTGCCTGCTTTGATGCTTCATATGAGGCAGAATTCTCTGTGATCACTGCCTCAAAACAACAGCTTTGAACAGGTTTGGGAGCAATTTTACCATCAGTGATTCAGTAGGATAAATATTCTTTTTATGGACAACAGCTCAATTAACATGTTTTATTGAACTGGTTGCAAAGCAGTTTTTTGGTTCAGTTAATAATGGAAAACAAGGTAAACAAATCCTTTAGCACCGTATATAGCAGTGATCCCTCAGTTGTTATGGAAGTGATCCATTACATTAGAGATTGTAAACTGCTGACTTTTAAGATAATTAATGTTTTTCTCGTGCAGCATTTACAAAAAAAAAAAAACCAACAAGTTTTTGGATAAAGTAAATAATGAATTTATTTGAGTTCAGCCTAAACATATTTTCTTCAGATAAATGTAAATCCAGGCGTACAAGCAAATGTTTACAAGTTGTCATATAGTTTCCATTGCATTTGAGTTATGTATGGAAGCTATTTGACCAGATATGACTGTGTTTTTTTTTTTTTTTAAAGATTCAGTAAGTTAAAAACTCAACCCCAAGCATACACCACTAATCACCACCTCACACTTCTTCCTGTGAAGAATTTGGGTTGAATCGGCTGCGGTACCACCCAGTACCACTATTTATTCTAATTACCTTTCAGAGCAGACAGGAGCAGCACGTACCATAAACCAGGCTGTCACAGAGAGCATCAGAAATGCACATTCCTGTTTGATTGGGCCTGATGGAGTGCTCTGCCTCTGAACTGTGCTGCCCGAATCAATCTCTCCTGGAAAACGTCAGGGAAGGTGGACTGGTGGTACCTTATCTCAGCAGATGCCACTCTGCGCAAACATCAAAAGGAGCCTCGGTGCTGGAGAGCAGTGAAGGTTGTGCAAGGGACTGACTGGGGGGGATGGCTGGCACGCTTGTCTCCAAGTCTTGTCAATGCTGTTAACAATGTGTTTCATGAGTGGAGGGCTTCCCTGCACCCCCACCTCACCACTAAACACACCATGCATCAGTGAACACAAATTTTGGCTCAATATATGTATAGCTGACAGAGTTATGGCCATTTTTGTGTTTGCTCATGTTGTTTAGGTGCAATGGCCATCTTGAATTCGGTTGACGGCAAAAGTTAATCAGTTGTAGATGTACAGCCAATGGATAATTTCTGATAATTTAATTGAAATTTGCCCAGAGGTTCATGAGATATTTTGATAACAGACAAACAGGGCTGACTAACAATATGCAAAGATGCCTCACAACATGATTCACTGGAGTTTGTGTTGTGAATTAGTCATAGCTACTAACATACCACATTTTAGCTATATATCTTTTAAACTGACGTAGTTATAGCCATTTTTGTGTTTTCTAATTCCAATTAGTTTTGGCAGGTATCTTGAATTGTGTTAACTACAAAAGTTATTCAACTGTATTTGTACAACAAATGATTACTTTCTAAAAGTTTCATTAAAATTGGTTCAGTGGTTTATGGGATATTTTGCTAACAGACAGATAGAGTTGACTAATAGTTAAAATCAAAGATCAGTTAATGCTCAGAATGTAAATTAGGTATAAGTTTCAGTTCACACTAAATTTTAGCTCAATATAAAAAAAAAAGACTGGTTATGACAAATTTTGTGTTTGCTCAAATTGATTAGCTGTGACAGCCATCTTGAGTTGGACTGACTTTAAAAATGATTTAGTTGCAAAGGTACATTCATTAATTCCTTTCTGAGTGTTTCAATAAAATCTGCCCAGTGGTTCATAAGATATTTTGCTAACACAACAGACAACACTCTCATTAACAAAAACACCTTTCACACCTGTTTGCCTTTGGACAACAGTACCAAGAAGTCAACCAGGTTTAAACAAGAAAACTTGAAAACAACCAGTGATTCTTTTATTAAAGCTGTAACTGTGTGCAGGATGTGACGTGGGGCAGTTCCGCTGCGGGACAGGTCGGTGTATACCAGGTGACTGGCACTGTGACGGGACATCGGATTGTGTCGATGACTCCGACGAACAGGGCTGCCGTGAGTTTCTCATCATGTTCCACTGCATGAAACCTCGCAGGGTTAAACGTATTTAGTGTAAAGCATGTAAATAACGACATGTCCGTGTGTATTTCGACAGCTCAGGTAACATGTGATAACAGCCATTTCCAGTGTCTGAGTGACGGCGAGTGCATCCCAGAAGTGTGGGTGTGCGACAACGAGGAAGACTGCGAGGATGGCTCAGATGAGAGGCAGCACTGCCGTAAGTACACTGTACAAAAGTTAGGAGACATGTTTGCAATTCTAAACCAAAGTTTATAGGTTTTTGCTAAATTCATAATACCATACTGTACCGTACCGTACCATACCATACAATACCGTATCGTACCATACCATACAATACCGTATCGTACCATACCGTACCATACCATACCATACCATACCATACCATACCATACCATACCATACCATACCATGTATGATATGGTAAATTCATAATGGACCCACCAGAGCATCGGCGAAGTGGAAGCTGTTTAGGCCCATGTTGAACACAATGTTTTGATTGCATGCAGCGCAAGAAGAATATGATGAAGACTATATGTGTTCACAATCACTCTTCGTTTTTGGTCTCAGCTGGCAGGACGTGCACCAGTGGCCAGTTCAGCTGCAGTAACGGGGCGTGCATCCCTGCAGAATATCGATGTGACCATCAGGCAGATTGTCTAGATGGATCTGATGAGAGAAACTGCAGTAAGTCTTCTTCAGGATGCTCCTCCCTCTTTTTTTATTATTATTCTTTTTAAATCGGGCTCCTGTGGCATTTTAATCAATTTGTTAAGATTAAGAGGCTCGATGACTGACAGAACGGACCACAATATGCTTCTTGTTGTCAGAGGTTGATTGCAGATTCTTTGGTGGATTAGTCAAGCTGAAGTTCAGCTGCTATGCCATTATTGTGCCGACATGGTAGTCTCGTGGCACTGCACACTGTGGTAATCTCACAATTGCATAAAGAATGCTGTGGCAATCACTGCTGTTATGGTTGTGCTTTTGATTTTTAGTCGGTTATCCCTCCCATTCACATGGCTTTTCACATGTTAAAAAGCAGAAAGGAGCACATTTGTCAGGTTCATTTCAGTGCATAATGGTGGCCTGGTGATGGTTTAATCTTACAGATTACCCACAGTGTACCCAGATGAGGTGTGCTAATGGGGCCTGCTACAATCGAACGCAGCGATGTGACCATATTCTTGACTGCCGTGATGGTTCTGATGAAGCAAACTGCAGTAAGAAGAGTTCAAATTTACAAACAAAAGCATTACGTCGCTGTCAAAGAAGTCATTTTTAGCCTCTTTGCATTCTGTTTTCTTCAGCACAGCACTGCAATCCAGGCTTGTTTCAATGTCGTAATGGATTGTGTGTTCCTCAGCAATATGTCTGTGACCATGATGATGACTGTGGAGATAGAAGCGATGAGCTAAACTGCAGTATGGAGTCCCTGTTTATCTATGTTCTAAAACATTGTTTGGATCAACAGCAACTTTAGTCTAATGAGTTATCTAATTAAAACATGTCATTATTGCTTTAATTTGCAGCGTATCCCACATGTAGAGGGAACTACTTCACGTGCCCCAGTGGTCGCTGTATCCACCAAGTGTGGCTTTGTGATGGAGAGGATGACTGTGAGGACAACGCAGATGAAAAAGGCTGTAGTACGTATACAGTAGCTGAAACTCTGTACTTGTATATTATGTTACTTTGTGCTTTTGGAAGCAGAAGCCCTGCATATTTGGCTGGTTAAATACCCCTAAAATGGGAAAGAAAGAACCGGGGCTGTTGAAACCTGATTCATCTTTAGTCTCCATGGTTGGTTTGGTTTAGCAAGACGCTATGCCTGTGCTCCTTTAAGTGTGTTATTCAAACGCCTCTTTGTGGCACAAGATTGCGCAGCCCCCCTAAAGGGCTTTAGAATTCCTCCACATGATTGTGAAAAGTGTGCGCTTTTTAAGGATAGAAGCCTTCAGTGCCCCCATGTGCCCTTGCAAATCCAATCCCCTGCAACAGTTTTAAAGTGACAATGCCCAAGTCACAATTTGTTTTATTCCTTAACATTTAAGAAGCACGTGTGTTACTCTAATTGTAACTTTATCCAGATTTTTGTATCCCCATCCATCTGTTTGAGCAGGAAAAGATGATAAATTTATCTTGTGTTCAGGCAACGTACCACGGGAGTGTTACCCAGGGGAATGGCCCTGTCCTTCCTCAGGCCTGTGTATTCCCATGGATAAGCTGTGCGATGGAAAGGCAGACTGCCCCGAGGGAGAGGACGAAACAAACACCACTGCTGGACGCAACTGCAGTTAGTGCCATCCCAAATATTATCATATCATGCAATGTACACATACTGTATATTGGTAATCTTTTAGATTGTGCCACTGCAGAAAATCCACCCATATATTGGTTTCTTCATTGATCAGGTATCTGGAAATGTGCATCTTTGAGCTGTGAGCATCACTGTCATACTTCCCCTGATGGAGGAACTTGCTCCTGTCCTTCTGGATACATTGTCAGCAGTAATGACAGTCGGTCATGCATAGGTATTTACTCTTTATTTACCTTGGAAATTAAATAAATCAGTAGCTACAGTGGTTGTTTGTAGGTTGCCTAATAGTAATACACCATTTCTGATATATATATCAAAAGCTCTTTAATGAAAATGAAGTTTATAGGCTTGCTTAATAATCCTGCATGCCTTAATATCTGTGCCGTGCTTGCTTTTATTCTTCGTCTTATGATTTTCTTTCAATCATGCTAAAGATTTTGATGACTGCACCATGTGGGGCGTGTGCGATCAGCTGTGTGAGGACCGGATTGGCTCCCATCGCTGCAGCTGTCGAGAGGGCTACATTTTGGAGCAGCATAGGTACTGCAGAGCTGACGCCTCAAGTGAGTGGCACTTTCACGTGCAATATGCTCAGATTGTGAGCGACTGACTGAGAAGGATCCATCCAAATGAGTTTCATCAGTATAAACCTAACTACATTTTTGTCAGTCTCTGTATAGAGTTTCTGCATGCTAAATGTTGTTTCAGTGAGTCTTTGGCCTTTGTCACACATAGAAAGAGTGTTGTCTGAGAGGCTGACCTCTCTGAATTTAGTTTTGGTAAGAGAAGCATTAAACAATGGAGATTTGAAATTGCCTACCTTCACTTGTATTTTATAAATTTCCACTGTCCTTTTGGTTCAGTTCTTGCAGAATCAGTAGTTAGTGATTTCTGTGTGATCCTGTGTTTTGTAACTTTTATGATTCTTGTTTTATTTTATTTTTTTGCAGCTGGTGTTCCTTCCATAATTTTTTCTAACGGAAGAGACCTGGTAATAGGTGACATCCATGGCAACAGCCTACGTACTTTGATTACTTCTCAGAACAGAGGGGTTGCAGTGGGGGTGGACTACCATTATAATTTCCAAATGATCTTCTGGACTGATACCATCCAAAATAAGGTGCATTTTTAATATTCTTTATTACTTACTGGTGGGGATGTGGTAGCTTGTTGATCAGTGCCATGTTCTTCTAATCCTGAGGTTGTGGGTTCGAGCCCAGGTTGTGTCAGGAAGGGCATCCCACTTAAAGAAATTCCCAAATCTTTAACGTGAGTTTGCTCACTGTAGGGATCCCTGAAGAAGGGAGCAGCCAAAAGAAACTTATTCCCTTAATTTTTACTGGTATGTCAGTCGTTTGATATTTCTTGGTGAGAAGGCCAGTTTTTTGTCAAGATTCATCAGTTAGACGGGTACTGGCCCGAAACAAATTATTTTAGTTATCTTTTAAAATACCAGCAATGCTGATACTATAATAATGGTATTTGGCCCCATAGAGGCTGGCTCATAATGAAGGGAAATAGATATGTAATAGAATCCAAATGGCTTAATCTTGAAACCTGTCTGATAGGCTTGTATGATGGTCACATACCAAAGTGTAATTTTTGTAACTCAATCTTCTTCAATCTAATCATGCTGTATTTATTTTCAGCGGAACTGTCCACTTATATGCATTCTTTTGCAAGCTAAAACGCTTTTGTTCGGTTTACCTGTGGGCTTCTCGTTGGTTTGAACTCCTCTCTTTTGTCTGAAATGCTAGAACATATCTCTGACTGGGCATCTGTGCATATTAGCCACCTCAGTGGCCGCATGTCAGATTAAAAGTAGGGAGAGCACAAACAGGGCATGTGAATGCAACCAGAAAGGTTAAACTATCAGGCTATTTCCACTTCTTCAGTTTCTCTTTAAACAGGTCAGTTGAAAATCCTGCTTTTTAGATGTCTGGATTTGGTTTCAAAAAAAGGAGAGCTGCTAAAAGCGATCTCCCTCAGCCAGCTGCATGGTGCCAAGGCTTCCAGCCTGAGCAAGTGGTCCCAACGTAGTCCTGCAGTGGCATGTGCTGAAGTTCTCGCTATAGGCTTTGAAAATATATTGTAAGATTACAGGTCTCCCTTGTAAACGAGTCCTCGAGGCTCAATGAAACTAACCCGTATACTGTAAATAAAGGTTGAATGAAGACAGAAATTTTAGGCAAAAATGAACAGTTTGCATCATGTTTTTTTTTTTTTTACAAGTTGTAGTATTTATTTAGTTATTTTTCACATCTATATTGCTGTTGACTCTTTCAAAAAAGTTTTTAAGTTCACAATGTGAGTAACGTACCGTAAAGACATATTTCAGAAAAATAACCACAAAGATGTTCACTCACGCTGTTTCCATTTCAGTTGGTGAAAAATCTTTCAATTGGTGATAGAAGGAAAAAATAAAAAAATAAATATTTTAGCTTTTGTCCATCATTAGAAATCAAGACAGAAAGAAAGAGAGAGAAAGCTGCAGATTTTAGTAAATTTTAAATATCTGCTTTTGTTAGCAACCAAGAACATTTAGATGTGAACTTGAAAATGCATGTATATGTTTATATTTTTTGAATGTGAAAGGTTATGAACAGTTGATGTCTTACCTGTTGATTATCTCTTTAATTAGATTTAAGTTGCAGAAACAAATTTAAATTCTGACCAGACCGATAAGCTAACAAGCAGCTCAAGAAGGATTGCTGCCTTTTAAAAACAACTCCAATTTAAAATATTTTATAGTGGATCATATACTGGTAATCACTATTTTATGCATGCTTACATTGCTGTTAATTTTATATTTCATGGTTATTGTGTCCAAAATCGTATGCCTAGGCTGCACAGGACAAGCTACAGCTACCATTTTGCTAGTTGTTTGTGCAAATCCATCCATCCATGCATCCATTATCTTTACCCGCTTCTTTCTTTCTGGGTCGTGGGGGTCACTGGTGCGCATATCCAGCAGTCACTGTGCGAGAGGTGGTGTACACTCTGGACAGGTCTCCAGTCCATCACAGGGACACATAAAGACAAATGAGACAAACAACCATTCACACTCACACCTAGGGACAATTTAGAGTTACTAATCAGCCTAACATGCATGTTTTTGGTCTGTGGGAGGAAACTGGAGTACTCAGTGAAAACCTACGCTTGCATGAAGAGAACATGCAAACTCCACCCAGAAAGCCCCCCGGCCGGGATTTAGTCCAGCATCCTTCTCGCAGATAGGCAGCAGCTTTACCAACTGTGCCACCGTGCTGCCCTGTTTTTGTAAACGTCCAAATAATTCAAAAGTTTTTTAAAGTCAAGAATATAATCATATTTCTGCAGCAAATGACTTTGGTTTTGTCCCCACTTAGACTATCTGTTATCTTGTCAATCCAGTTAGAAATAAACTTTACTTTTCTAAGCCGAGGTTGTTCGAAGCCCTATCTACAACTGGTAACATGGTAAGCTTTCCACTGAACTCCACTTCATACGATCAAGTTTGTCACTCTTAGTTGTCAGTTTTGAGCAGTGTTCTGTTTATCTGATTAAAAGTGACCTCCAAAGAACTAATAACCTGACAACAATGGTATCTTTTACAAACAGGTCTTTTCTGTGCATATGGATGGGTCCAATGTGCAGGTGGTTTTAAATGTATCAGTTGACTACCCTGAGAATTTGGCGGTGGACTGGGTGAACAATAAACTGTATGTGGTGGAGGCCAGCGTCAACAGGATTGACATGGTGGACTTTGATGGAAGTAACCGAGTTACGCTCATCACTGAAAACCTGGGAAACCCTAGAGGACTGGCGGTGGACCCCACTGTTGGGTGAGCAAATTTCCCTTTCTGCTTCCTTTTTCATCTATCCACCCATTCCTAATTCCCACATTCAGTGTCTGTTGTGCTCCATTGGCATGGAATGATGGGGGTAGGATGTTTGAGATTAACAGATGGCCCAGGGTAGATTAGTGAGGAGCAATGTAAGTGATGACCCTCATTGTAATCCAATAGTATAGTTCAAGGGAGAGGGACAGCCAGGTGGCTGCAGAGAAACTGCTTATCTTAAATTAATATACAGCTCCTTGGAGGGATACACTTAGAAACACATTGTCCTTCTTTGGATTCTGTACCTAGAAAAGGCAAAAGCCTCTAAAAGTTTCTTTCAGGGTTCCTAAGAGTTTTT